GTATGTATGTATTGTAAAGCCCTAACATGGAATTATGAGACAAAACCTCCAATGGTAACACTGAGTTCCTTTTCTTTTGGCAAGTAGCTGGGTGTGCAGCTTACTCTTAAGAGTAGTTTTTTTTCCCCAGTGAGACTCCCTTGGAGAAAGCTGAATTTTCATTTGCAAGTGGTTATCAAAGGAGATGGCGTCTGAGTTGGAGATGGGGACATGTGTCCACTTCTCCTTTTAGCTCTAGGATCCTATCTGCTGCAGACCTATGCAGACCCTGCACATGCTCTCTCAGCCTTTGTGAGTTGATTTAGAAGATCTTTTTAAATTGGTGTCCTCCATCCCCTCTGATTCTTACACTATTTCTGACTCTTCTTCCTCAGGGTTCCTTTTAAGCCTTGAGGGGAGGAATTTGACCAAGATCTCCCATTTAGGGCTGAGTGTTGCAGGGTCTCTCACTCTCTGTGTAGTGTCTGGCTGTGGGTCTCTGTATTTGTTCCCATCTGCTTCAGGAGGAAGCTTCTCTGATGATGGCTGAGCAAGACACTGATTTATGAGTAGAGCAGAATGTCATTAGGAATCATTTCATATTGACAATTTTTCTTTAGAACAATAGTATTTGATTTTACCCTAGGTCCCTGAGCTATCTAGTCTCATGCTCTTGGTCTCCTAAGCAGTGTCAAGTATCTCATGGAATGGGCCTTAAGTCTAATCAGATATTGGCTGGTTACATCCATAAGCTTTGTGCCACCTTTGCACTAACATATCTTGTAGGCAGAACACCATTGTAGATCAAAGGGTTTGGGGTTGTGTTGGTGTTTATATTTCTCTTTTGGTAGCATGCAGAGCATCTTCTTGTACCAAAGATGACAGCTCATAGTGGTAAAGGTTCTATGTAGGCACCAACTCCACTTCCCCATATTCAATTAGTTGTGTGGTACTGTCATTAGCAATGGGGCCTAGCTGTCAGTTGTGGAGAACAACCTGTATCCTTGGCAACAGCGTGGGTTATTTGGGGGTTCCCATGAGACCCCTTTGCCCAACAATTCAATTAGATATTATCTAATCCCTGAGAAGCTTTGTTTGGTGACAAGAGATGGCCAGTTGGGGCTTTGTCCCCCCAGTTATTTGGTGATTTCATCTAGATCCCCTTCATGTATGTCTGTATTTTCCTGTACTAGGTTTTTTTTTCATACTCTCCCTCAAATGGCCCTTAATTTTAGCTGTCTCTCCCCATATTACCTCATTCATCTTTTCTTCTCTCCCCTCCCCTGTTGAACCTCCCATTTCAGTCTTTCATCCATCCATAACTATCTACTTTACCTAGAGAGATCTTTCCCCCCAACACTTTATTTTATACCTAACCTTGTGGTTCTACAGATTGTAGCTTGATTATTGGCTCAATAGCTAATATCTACATATAAACAAATAAACACCATATTTGTTATTTTGGGTCTGGGTTACCTCACTCAGGATGACTATTTGTCTACTCTCATCTATTTACCTGCAAATTTCATGATGTCATTTTTTTTAAAGTTGAGTACTATTTCATTGTGTAAATGTACCACATTTAAAAAGTCTACTCATCTGTTGAGAGAAATCTGGGTTGTTTCCACTTTCTGGCTATTGTGAATAGAACAGCAATGAATAGGCTTGAGCAAGTGTCTGTGGTAGGATGAAGTGCCCTTTGGATATATGTCCAAGAGTGGTATGGCTGGATCTTAAAGTAGATTGGCTTCAGTCTTTCTGAGGGACTGCCACACTGATTTCCATAGTGGCTGTACATGTTTGCACTCCCACCAGCAATGGATGGTTGTTCCCCTTACTCCTCATTTCTCCCAGCATGAATGGTCATTTGTTTTATTGATCTTATCCATTCTGACAGGTGAAAGACGAAATGTCAAAGTAATTTTGATTTTCATTTCCCTGATGGCTAAGGATATTGAATATTTCTTTAAGTGTTTCTCATTCATTTGATTTTCCTATTTTGAAAATTCTGTTTATATCTTTATTCTATTTTTAAATTGTTTTTTTTCTTGATATCTTTTTTTTAGTTCTTTATATACTTTGGATATTAGCCCTCTATTGGATGTGTAGTTGGTAAAAATCTTTTTTTATTCTATAGCCTGCTACTTTGTCTGAATGATGGTGTCCTTTGCTGTACACAGGCTTTTCTGTTTCATGAGATCCCATTATTAATTTTTGACCCTAGTGCCTAATGACACAGGCTTCATTTAAATATTGGGCAAATGCTGATTGTAATTTGAATGAATACCTGTCATTTTCAAGGTCTATGACTGAAGATTTACGTGTAAAACTGGAATTGAGGGAGAGTTATCACTCTATTCTGAGTGGGATGTATGAATGGGCATGGCAGGTCATCCTAAAAAAAAAAAAACCTTATATCCCACAGAGGGTACTTCACACATCATGATCAGAGATATCAGATAAAACCTCTACAGAGCACAGATGAGGGAGAACATGCCATCCTTCCAATCAGCCAGGGGGAACCAGACACAGTTAATTACAAGCATGGTGAGAAGCATGCTGGCAGGAAACGAAGCCATCTTCGAATTTCCAGGTCCTTAACAAGCTCAAATGTGAGTATGGCTTTCTTACAGCCTATGTATTTTGACTGTCTAAGAAAGGATATAAGATACACAGATATATTCAGAAATGACTGGTATATGCAAAGCCTCTATTTACTTCTTTTTAAAAAAATATTTTGGAGGGAAAAGTGTAAATAGAGATGTCAATAGAGATCATTATTAATGAGATTCTCTTGTTATTTGCAACAGGACTTTCTTCAAGGACAGAAATACGTCAATCTCTTCTTGGTGCTGGATAATGCCTTTGTGAGTACATAACATGGCTGTACCTCTTTCTTAGTTCTCTCAACTTATAAGTCAACTTAAAAGTAAAAGAAGCCATGAACTTTTTTTTAGTTAGCAATGCATTTTTGTTCAACTAGATTTCTTGGCTGCTTCAGCTGCTTTGTTGACAACAGTTTTCACCCATTCCATCCGATTTATTATCAGTTGATCACCAAATATTTATATAACGGCAATAGACTTAATAGCATATACCTATGTTCTAGATTGATTTCTGTTGCTGTGGTAAACACCATGACCAGATGCATCTTGGGGAAGGAAGGGTTTGTTTGGCTTACAGCCTATTGCCAAGGGAAGCCAAGGCAGAAACTCTAGGCAAGACCTGAGGTGAGGACCATGCGGAGCATTGCTACTCACTTGCTTCCCCAGCTTGCTCGGCTGCCTTTCTTCTGCAGTCTGCGTTCACCTGCCTAGGGCTGGTACAGCACACAGTGAACTGGGCCTTCCCACATCAATAAGCAATCAAGAAAATGCTCCACAGAGATCCCCACTGGCCAATCTGATGAAGGCTATTCTTCAACTGAGGTTCTTCTTAGGTGACTCTATATGGCGTCAAGTTGACAAAAGCTAACTGTCACATACCTATAAGCAATCAACCACAAAAAAAATTAAAGAAAAATATTTTACTAAAGTACTAGATAGTTTTAATATTTTACCATAAAATATAAATGTCAATTTAATAGGTATTATGTAAATATGAACACAAAACTATATACAACTTACAGAAACATAAATATAAAGAAGCTAGAACTTATGTTGCCTCATAATCAAACCTAAAATGTTATTGAGTGAATGCAAAATATTTAAACTATTAATTTGATGTATTCAACTTTAAACTATTGATTTGATGTATTCAACTTAAAGATGAATAAGAAAACCTGTAAATCCTGTACCCATCAGTCTCTCACTTCAATTTTCTATTTTAATTTTGTATTCTTATATTATCTATTTTTCAGTATAAGATGTATAATGGGAATGTGACTCGGATAAGAAGCCTTGTGTTTGAGGTGATGGATCTGCTCAATGTGGTAAGGCATTTGTCATGATGTGTGTTTCCACGTCTGTGCTTGGGGCTTCCCTGTGACTTCCACTGTGTGGGGCTAAGAGTCACCCAAGGGTGAGAGCTCATCAAAGTGAAAATCATATACAGTAACAAAGGCATCTCCTAGAATTTCTGTTTTCAAGATGGAAAATGATGATGTCTATTGCATCCCTTTATCTATTACTTGTGGTCACCAAAAGTATTAAAACTAATCCTGAGTGTTTTAATGAAAAAAATGTTTGTTTTTTTTCCCCACAGATTTACAAAACCATAGATATTCAAGTGTCTTTGGTGGATATGGAAATCTGGTCTGATAGTGATAAGATAAAGGTGGAACCCAGGATTGGTGCCACATTCCAAAGCTTCCTTAAATGGCATTACTCTATCCTGGGAAAAAAGAAGATCCATAACCATGCCCAGCTTCTCAGGTGAATTCCTTCTTGCCAGGGCAGGGATATGACAGAAGAGTGGGTGGTTATCTCCAGGACTTCTTGACAAGAATTTCTGCTCAGTCATATCCCTTCAATAAGTTGTAAATGACTTTATTACCACTTAATGCTATTAGAAATAGACACATGAATTATTTGAAGGTCCTTATAAGATCAATAAAACACATTCTTCAATGCAATTGTAATTGTGGGTCTGTGATATGGTAGAAGATGTGCCAGGCCCTCATTAACATACAGAAAGCTAGGATACACCAACAGGGCTCTATAAGATCATTGCCAAAGTTGTTGGTTTCCAGAGTCAGATTGTGATGGGGCCTCTCTACCTTTCACACAGTGGATCTGGCTTCCTCAATAGACGTGCAGGAATGGCAGCTGCGAATTCCTTGTGTTCTACATCTTCAGTGTCTGTTGTTGAGGTTTGTACACTTCTACTAAGATATCTCATGATTCCATCTCTATGAAGATGAGCATTATGTCCTATACCACAGCAGTCAGCTGAATTGATAAATCAAACTAGAAATGAAACCATTTTTGTCCATTGCAATAAAGAGTCCATGGGCTATGAAATGTTAGCCTTGACAAAGGCCTCATACTTCAGTTTGTATTAAAGAATGTGGAGCACAATGTTGAGACAAAAATGGGAGCCAGGGTCCCTCTGTGGCCTCAGGTAACTCTAAATGAATCCTTTGATATAGCTGGTCAGAGGTCAGAGAAGGAAAGGGGTGCATGTAAGGCATTGTGTGCCCACTGCTACCAATGGCATAAGGATTACAACCACATTTTTACAGATGCATGTCCACACCTTGACATCTAATAGTTCTTTCCATAGAGAGTGCAATTAATCTAACCCTCGTTTATTGAGAATTCAGTGTTTAATAACTCAGTATTCTTGATTGAACTTGAGCACTGAGTATTCTTAGGATCCAGTCATCTCAAATACACTAGGCAAAAAGCAATGGCAGAAAAGTGAACTTAAGGATACACTATTCTTTCTCTTTCAAGTATTAGACACTTACCCATTGACAATGACTGAGAAATAGCTGAATAAAATAAGAAGTAACAGGTTCTTCTATTTGTCCAGGCCAAAGGAAAGAATAATGTGGCTCTCGTAGCAGTGATGTCCCATGAATTGGGCCATGCCCTCGGTATGAGGGATGTTGTATACAGCACCAAGTGTCCCTCTGGCAGCTGTGTGATGAATCAGTACCTGAGGTAAGATGGTATCATCCCAAAGTGAAGAGAGAAATCCCCACTCCTAAATAAATATACTGTGCATATGTGGTAGGGGCACCTTTCCACAAAGGCTGGGTATCCTCTTAATTCAACCTGAGAATTCTTCATGCATATATTTTACCAAATTCAAGGATCATTCATTAATATTTCTAAATATCCCACCATAGAGTTTATCAGTATGGTAACTACACCATTTTAACTTAAGGCTGTTCTTATTTAAATTGGTACCATATTTCCTAAAAACACTATCCTGGTTATGATGATAATTTTATTCCAAGATAGCCAAGATATTATCTTTATCACCATCATCAACTGAGCAGTTGATTTTTAACATATTCATTTATTATCTGATAATTCCAGTTATTTTACCAAAACTTCAGATAGAAAAAAAAATGGATATAGCATCTTTTGTTCTTGAGATGCTCACAAATTAAAAGTTTGCCTGTAGATCATAGGAACCTCCATTTATTTCCTTTAACTATATCATGATTGTCATCTCTCACTGGTCAGCCCTCAGTGTGAGCTGAGTAGATGATAACAATGGTAACACTCGTCTCTCTTGTTACTTTGGATAATTGTGAACTCTTGTTACAGTTAGTCATCTACTGCTGGGCATGCAGCCTACCTGTATTAACTTTAGTATCTCATTGCTAACTGGACACAATTTATAATGATCTGGGAAGAGATTCTCAATGAAGGATTTCATGTTGGGTTGACTTATGGGTCTGTTGGGAATTGTCTTAAGTAAGTTAATTGATGTGGTAAGACCCAGCCAACTTTGGGTGGCACTACTCCCTGGAAAAAGGGTCTTGAACTACATAAGAGTAGAGAAATAGAGCTGCATGCATCCATCCATTTTTCTTTGCCCCTGATGGATATGATGTGACTAGCTGTTTTGAATTCCCTTTATCTCCTAAGTTTTTTCAGGGTATTTTCTCAGAGAAATGCAACTAGGACCATCACAATGAGGATTTAAATTCTCTCCTCTCTGCTTCTGGATCACTTGGAGAAAACATTCAATTAGAATACTACACATGCTTCACCACCTACCATAGGCAGCTTAGAGATGGGTACTCACCATAGGCAGGATAGAGATGGCCACCTACCATAGGCAGTAAAGAGATGACCACCTACCATAGGCAGCATAGAGATGAGTACTCACCATAGGCAGGATAGAGATGACCAACCACCATAGGCAGGATAGAGATGACCACCCATCATAGGCAGCATAGAGATGACCACCCATCATAGGCAGCATAGAGATGGGTACTCACCATAGGCAGCATAGAAATGGCCAACCATCATAGGTAGGGTAGAGATGGCTACCCACCATAGGCATGATAGAGATGACCACCTTCCATAGGTAGGATAAGAGATGACCACCCACCATAGGCAGCATAGAGATGACCACCTACCATAAGCAGGCTATAAATGACCACCCTCCATAGGTCAGATAAGAGATGACCACCCATTATAGGCATGATAAAGATGACCACCCATTATAGGCATGATAAAGATGACCACCCACCATAGGCAGCATGGATTTGACTACTCAATATAGACAGCATAGAGTTGACCACCCACCACAGGCAGGATACAGATGACCACCCACCATAGGCAGGATAGAGATGTTCTGGAGAGTGACTAAATTTGGAGTTTCCACTGGACTGGGTCCCACAGTGAAATACATTAGATTTTTCTACTTACTTATCAGCCACAAGCTTCTATACCGTATATAATGCTAGCTATTCTGTTTTTTCTGTTACAGTTCAAAATTCCCCAAGGATTTCAGTACTGCCAGCCGCTCACTCTTTCAAGGATTCCTTTCATCTAGAAATTCAAGGTGTCTGCTGTCGGCACCTAATCCTAAAAATATAATAAAACCAACATGTGGGAACCAACTTCTGGAAGAGGAGGAAGTTTGTGACTGTGGCTCTCCTGAGGTATGAAAATACACGAGGTTTGAAGTTGTATTTATTAAGATTTTAAAGCAGAATAACTGGGGTAAAAGTTATACACTTTCATTTTCCATTTTCTTCTTTAAAAGACTTTATGTTTATTTGTGGTGTGTGTGAGAGAGAGTTTGTATGTTTATGTGCATACACATAACATAGAGACTCAAGAGAGGGTGTCAAACCCCTTGGAACCAGAGAGATGGGTGGTTTTGAACTGGCAAAGATGGGTTTTAAGATCTGAAACTTCATCCTCAAGATGGTTTGGCAAGTACTCTTAGCTGCTGAGCCATCTCTTCAAACCCCCTTTTCTTTTCACAGTGTTCCTTTGGAAATTAGTTCTGGAGATGAACTTGATATCAGAGTGTGACACAGATTTGTTAGTACCTTGTGCTTTGCTTTTCATTTTAGTTAACCATCCTGTGAAAAGCACACATCCACATGCACACACACACAAAAAAAAAAAAGAAAGAAAAGAAAAAAAAAACCACCAGCATCTGTTTATAACACAATTGCACCAAGTCAAATATAAAGAAGGAGCAGTTACCCACAGCCTGCCGCATTCCTTGTAGTCACCAGGAAATTTCCAAGTTTCAGGCTAATAACTGGTAACTCCATGTGAAACTTGTGATCTAGCCATGATTTTTGACAGCTTTTTGACAGTGCAGAAAGCATCTTAGGTTTCTGTGCATCAGATCATTTATTCAGAAGTTTAAATTGTGTATCAGATTCTTAATGTAATTGTTCAGAATTTGATCACTTGTTTGGAAGAATTTTCATATTTTCTTTTGTGCTGTCTAAGGTTTGCTTTTGACATAGGATATAAATCATTGATTATTGTTATTATTCATAATGTCATTTTACTATTATCTTAGTGACTTATCAAATATCTTTAAGAGTTGACCCCAATTTATTTTATGTAGGTAATTATATCCCATACACAAGAAAATACAGTCTATACTTTTTAGTTATTATATCTTCATATCTTTTCTTTGTCTCATGGTATTTAGTAAACTTCCCATAAATGAACATGATACTCTTTGCTCTATCCTTTATTTTATTGGGTGGGTTTTTTGCTATTTGTTCCCTATATTTTTTATGATGATGATCTATCATTTACCCACAGTGTGCATAAATAGGAAATCATGTTTAAATGCTTCAATTTTGGCTGCCAAAATTATCTACTAATTTTGCTGCTTACCAAAATATCAGCAGCTGTTCCCTTAATTTGGTGGATTATATTTCTTTTAATCTGTATGATCAGGCAACCTTACATTTTGGACTAAGAAAACTCATAGTTGAAATTCAGGTATTCTATTGATAAAATGGAGTTTAACTAATATAAATGTGTGTGTTTGTGCATGCACATGCATGTGTGCATCTGTGCATGTGTGTGTGTGTGTGCGTGTGCGTGCGTGTGTGTGTGTGTGTGTGTGTGTGTGTGCGTGTGTGTGTGTGTGTGTGTTTGTGATCATTACACGTCTCAATAACATTATTATCCAGGCATGGTAAACAAAATTTAATTTTAATTTGAAAAATTTCCTCTATTTTCACTGGACAGTACACCAATGTTCATCCTTGAAAATTTCAACAGATTTAAGTTCAATACCTTCTAGACAAAACTCATTTGAGGAAATTCTTTGTGATTTTTCCCCTCTTGATGTTTAATGACAGTGTTCACTGAGTGCAGCATTTCTTCCTATCATTGGTTCTCCCTGGTTATGGTCACTGGAACTGGTACAACAGAGCAAATAGGTTTAAAAGGGTTAACTTTTCTGATAAGGCCTGAGAGCTGCACTAATCCATGGACATAGAAATATGAAGGTAGTGGGAAGTTTGATTGTGTCCAGCGAGCAGGATAACAATAGCAGTCCTGTAAGCTCCTTGGCCATGGATTCTTGGCCAGGTTCCCAGTGCCAGGCATGAGTTTCCTCCTGTATCCAATCAGAAAGCAGTTGGTTATCCCCATAACAAGTGATTGCACTGCAGTGGATGGACCCTCACTTCGGAGAACATGGGTTATTAAAAGTAAAAGAAAACCAGTTCTGGTGGCAGCACTCAGGAGGCAAAGGCAGGCAGATCTGTGAGTTCAAGGCCAGCCTAGTCTACATAGGAAGTTCTAGGAGAGTCAGGGCTATGTAGAGAGACCCTGTCTCAAAAACAAAACAAAACAAAACAAAACAAACAAAAATAGGACACAAAGTTGAGAGGGAATAGAAAGGAACAGGGTGAATCTGGAGGGAAATAGGGAGAATAGCTGGGCTAAATATGATCAAAATATATCCTATGAAATTCTCAAATAATTAATAAAGTATTATACTTTACAAAGTAAGAAAATCTTTCACTGTTCTCTGTACTAAACTCAGGGATTGTTTTGTTTGTTCTTTGTAGGAATGTACCAACCTTTGCTGTGAGCCCCTGACATGTAGGCTGAAATCTCAAACTGACTGTGAAGAAGAAGCATCCAACCATATCACGTGAGTACCATCTTGTCCAAGTTCACCAAATGCCTTCTCACTTTTTTTTCATATTTCAAAAAGGTGTCCTGCTGGGCTCAATAACATACTAAAAACAAAGTTCACCTACACCTTTAATTGACTTAATTTTATAGCGAAGCAAGAACACATTACACACAAAACCAAGCCTGTGTCATACATGTATGAGAAAATGGGTTACCCTGACATTTATAAGATTAGAGTTCCTGGGACTTCTGGGACTTCTGCTAAAATTGGTGTCATTTCCTATAGTTAACATAGTTAGTATGAAAAGAATTAAAGTGTATTTCTAACAAGACTTGACTGATAAGCACAATTCATTCTCTGTTAGAAATGATAGGTATTGTTAATAAGGTAGTCAGAAAACCAGTAATCATTAAGAACTGAGTGTAAGAATTGACAGGTTTATTTTTTTTTTAAAGTGTCTCAGTGGAATACAATCCAAGGTTTTGTTTTAGGGTGACCTGGAGATCAGTGTAATTTGGGGGTAGCGAAACAAATGGCTTGGCATTTGGGATTTAGGTTTTTGTTTGGATGTTAAATAGCCTCTGTATATAAAATCTGCAACAGCAACAGATGTGAGAACACTGGGATTCAGGAGACACAAGAGGGAAAGAGTTGGTCTGTGCCTTTTCTCAGACATTTCCAGGAATTAAAATAGCAGGGGGAGTAAAATCAAATGACCAACTCCAGCAGCACTCAGTGTCCTTCCTCAGGAAGGAACAAGGTCAAAGGAGAATGGAGACGCCTCCTCTCCTTCCTAGGCAGCGTTGAATGCTTCAGTGAACTGTGATGTGGATCCACTCTGCAGAGAATTCTGGAAATCATGCCAAGACTCAAAGCAGCATGTAGAGAAATGCATAAGGAGAACAAAGCAACCAAACAAAACCTTAGTTCCTTGGAGGGCTGGAATGATAGAGAATGACGCCTTTTCCTGTGTAAAATGGGAAGTTCAGCATCAGTGGAGGAACGCTGAGCTTGGACTCTAGATATTTAAATTCTAGTCTTAATTCTGAAAAATACTGTGGGATTGATGACAGGTTGGTGAATTCCATTCCTTCTTGAACCATGAAACTTCTGATGTATTTATTCTCCCAATGTGTGCTTGCTAGTATTGTTTTAAGTCTATACATTTCCATTTGTGTCAGTCTATAATATTTTATCAGATAGTAACCATTGCTTCTGTATTTTGTTTTTCTTTAATTAGAGAATGATCCAGTGTCTACATCGCTGAGAAGTTTCATTGCCAGGACAAAAGTCTAGAAGCTGATACACCAGGAGTCTTGCCTTGTTTCACTTTATGCTTCTATGTAGACTGGCTTCTGAATGCCATGTGTGAACCCGTAGTTTCAATCCCTGAACAATAACATCCCAAAATATACTCGTATCTATAGTGAATATGTAGACAATTTTCTCAATATTTCCTAAATGATACCATGTAACAACTATCTGCATAGCATTTTTTTTTTTGTTGAAGAGGTGTTAGAAGTAGTCTTAAGATGACAAAACATTTACAAGAATTTCAGTAGTTGTAAGCAAATATACTCCAGTTCTTATAAAGGACCTCCAGTCCAAAGATTTAGGTATCTAGGTGTTCCTGGAGCCAATCTCTAGTAGACACTGAAGGAAGACCTCTTTCATTCTGCTTTCTGTGTTTCTATGAGTCCAGCCAACAAGTAAATAGATGTGAGATGCTGTCTATATGTTCAGGTTTTATCTGCAGTGGGAATGTGAGAACCTTGAAAATGTGGTTTTAGTTTCAGTCTTTGGAGAACAAAGAAAATCAACCTTTGCTGACGTTCCTCAACACACTCCACTGAATTGTTGAGTCAATCCCAAACTGCAAAATAACAAGTAATTTGACCCTAAATCTCTTCGCTTCCCTTGCTGTTCCTCTCTTTGTCTACCTCCCCAAGAGTCCCTGCTTAGCTGTCTCATGGAATATTGGTTACATCCAAACACTTTTCACTGATTAAATAGAGTTTCTCATGTTTTCTTTTACTGTCAGGTGTAAGATTTATTTTAAGAAATCTGTGTTGCTTACAACTTAGTGGGAATGGAAAGGTAAGGTTTCATTCATTTGATGTAATAAACTATGCTATCAATAAAAATAGTGATTCCTGCGTGGTCGTTTTCAAAAATGAATATTTTCAAACTTATTTATATGAGTCAGGATCCTGTTTATTGTTCACCTTAAAAACAATCTGCCTCATTTCCTTCACACCCTATACACATGTGGGCAGCAGGGGAGGGGCACAGTGGGAAGCTCCTTACGAAGTCTACCTAATAACATTTCAAACCCAAGACGGGATATTTTCACAAAAGGGTCACACTTAGCCCCAAATGTTTTGTAAAATCCAAGTCCTAAAAACTTGCTGGACTAAAATATTCTGTTAAATAAATCTTATCATGAAAAAAAATCTACATTTTTGTGGGGGTTTTTTTTTGAGTGTGTTAATTACAACATTTAAGATTAATTAATTACATTTCTTCCTTCTCTTTCCTCCTTCCAAACCTTCCCATATACACCTCCTCACTCTCCTTCAAATTTGTGGTCTCTTTTCTCATCAGTTGTCATTGCATGCATATGCATATTTATATATACACGTATATTACTAAATATAGCCTGTTGAGTCCATGCTGTGCTATTTGTGTGTATGTTTGCAGGGCTGACTGTTTGGTACTGCACAACCAATTAATGTGCTGTTCCCTGGGCAGAGCCATCTGTCCCACGCCTAGCTTTACTCACTTGCCTCTAGTTTTTTTTGTGTGTAGGGTTGAGGCCTCTGAGGCTTTTCCCCATCCACTTTTACAGAAAACAAACATAGATATTTGGATAACAAAAAAAAATACACACAATTGACATGTCACCAAATCAATAATGTAATATTTATGAAAATATATATAGGAAAGGTAGTCATCACTAGGTCACAAAATTGTTCAGAGAGTCATCGCTGAGATTAAGAATTAAGTGCTAATTTTACTAGTCTCAGTGATTGACAGATTGCAAGTCAAAACATCTGCAGGATTTACTTTTGATGTTTGTCAGTGTGCATGCAATCTCATTATTATATGTGTTGCATTTTGAACGTCTACAAATTGCTTTTCATGAGTGTAATTCTATTCCCACCCACCCCCACAAAAAACACAAAACACTGTCACACATCTGTAAAATGCCTAAATTTTCCAGAATATTTTCATATGTTTACCTAGTTTGATACGTAATCAAATGATTAAGTTATGCAGGGATATTCTCCAGGATGAGAACCTGTGATCAAAAAGTGACTTGTCTAAGGTCACAAAAAACCTAGAGTAAACAGAGAGCGCAAGTTCATGCCCTAGGATGGCCACTCTCTAGTTTCTCTATAATGGAGTTCTCTCTAGAGATGGATAGACTGCCCAAACTATAGCCTTTGGAAAGTAATTGATGATTGATGCTGACAATGTGTGGTGATTTATAAGAGCACCAGATGTACTAGAAAGTGCCCAGGAGCTTGAAGCACAAATGTCCACGACAGATAGTCTCAAAACATTCATACACACACTCACAAAGACTCACACTCCTGAACACACACACACACTCATATATACACACATTCTGCACTTAACACATTCCCACTCCCACTGGACACCTATGCCTTCCACAGGTGGCCACAGAGCTGATATCCACAAACTGTAAAGTGCAGGTCTTCATTTTGTAATAGTTTTTATTTATAGCTATAATTAGGTGTACAGTAAAGTGCTTATTTTTCTGGAATAGCTTTTTATTTGGATTTTCTTAGGGAAGCAGTAAGTTAAGATCTGTTCATAAGAAGGAATCTGATCCCTTACTCCATGAACTGACATTGTTGTACAGCAGAAAATAGATGAGCTGAGCCCAGAAGACACAAAAAAGACATTTTTTGTATGTTCATTTGTTTTGTTCTAAGTCCAGAATGTGAAAGAAAAGGGTCAAATATTGTGTGTGGCTATTAAAGGTGTTAAAAAGAGTGGATTAGAGGAACTCAACAGCTGGGTGAAGGTTTGGGAAGCAGATCACTTCCTGTGGAGAGATATGAAAGTCACCAGAATTCTTCCCCAAAATATCAGGCCTTTGCATTTCCCCCACCCAAGCCAGTCAGTCAGATGCAAGATTTTCCGATGAGCCATGTAAGGGGGATTTCCACTTCATAGGACTTCCTGATTCATTTATCAGGGCAAGCACTGTCAGAGTGCACTGTTGTCTACCCTGAGAATTAAATTAGTCTAACCAGGGACTAATCAGGTCCATTCACTTTCTTCTCCCTGTTTTCACTCAAGGGGAAAGCAACTCATTACATTGTACATGTTCTTCTAACCTCAGTTTGAAGCCAAACAATTCAAGATAAGGCTGAGATGCGAGGACCACGAATTCAAAAACCACCCTGGGCTACTTAAAATGTTTCAGGATACTCTAAATAACTGTTCCAAAAAGCAAGCAGAGGTTGGGGTTGGGTGAGTGGAGGTGGAGTGGGATGGAGAGATAGCTCAGTGGTTAAGAGCACTTCTGGCTTTTGTAGAGGGCACAGATTAGGTTAGCAGCACCCACATAGTGTCTCTCAGCTGGCCATTAATGCCAGCTCCAGGAGATCTGATGCACTTTTATAGACTCTGTGGGCAGCAGGAAGCCAGACACACATGTGGTGCACATACATGCATGCAGGCAAAGTACTCATAAAGAAAAATATATAATCTTTTTTTTTAAGTGGGAAGAAGGGAGCAAGAAAAAGGGGGATATGGGAGTGGTTTTTTCTTTGTCTTACTTCTCTTCTGTAGACAGTGTCTTTGATCATGACTTTCCTTCGCACCCACCAGCAAACATTTGCCAATTGCCATTTGTTGACTAGTGTTCTAGACACAAGTCCTTAGCCTCAAATACAGACCTCTAGTATTTCAGACAAATTAGATACATGTGCTTAAGTGATTTCTCCCAGGCAGAGACCACTCTTTCCGTTTTCTTAAGGCCATCTTTGCAAGGTTCACAGAGTTTTATGTTACTGAAATCTGATTTGTTATTTCCCCTTTTTATGTGCATTTGTCCTGAACCAGCTTCGCTTCCTTCACTGGAAAGACTTTCTGTTGCTCTTTCTTTCAGAAATCACATTCTTTTCATTTTATACTGAAGTCTGTGACACATTTCCAATGAATGTCCATGTGTGGTGTCAGTTGAAGCCCAGTGTTCATGTTTTTCCACACACACAGCCAGCTTTCTTTCTAACAGTGGTGTTGAAAGAATAAGTAGCCTCTTTCCCTTGAATCCTCTTGGTGGATGGTCAAAATGTGTGGAAGAATCCGTTTCTGGCCCTTCTTCTCTTGTGTTCATTCACGTGTTTATCTCTTGACCTTATTATTTCTCCCAGTTGTTCTGATGACTAGTCATGTTACTTGGACACCAAGACTTGTTAAAGCATCTCTTGGCAGTGTAGCCATGCTGAATCTTTCCAACCTGATGCAGGCAAAGGAACCTTGTTTGTATCCTGATGATCTGCCTTCCCCAAGTCTTGCTAGGCAATGACTAAATGGGCCCACATGACACCTTCCTCCCAGCAATAGACTGCCATGAAGATCATCCCCTCTGCTTCACTTTCCAAATGTTGCCAGATCTTCAATTTCCTCTCACTATTTCAATGTATAGAATCGATCTTCCAGCTTTTTAGTCTGGAGAGAGGTGTGTGTTTTATGGAGATACTTCACATCTATTGCTACTGGACAGTGGTTTTGCTCTTAAATGATTATTTATTATTAATTTAGGATTAAATATTTCTTCCTTTCACTGGATAAACTGAGGTATAGGATAAATAACAAATACGTATGGGATACACCAGGTCACTCTTCCTGGCCCAGCTACTTGTACACAATGAGTATAGAACTGCTATCCCATGAAAGAACACTCACTAGTTTTCCCAGCATTAAAATATCAACCCACATCTTTGCATGGTAGATAGACATTCTACACACAACAACATGCATGTGTTAATGGTGTGGATGGGTGTGTTTTAAAGCAATATCATCTGCCTTTCTCTTTGTCATGAGGAAACATGTGCCGTGCTTCCCTTTTGTTAGGCAATTGTGACATCTGCTGTCAGAAGTAAGGAACTTAACTCCAGTCAAAAGCAGGCTCTAATTGGAAAGGCAAACACGTGTCAAAATGTGAACCTCTAGGGAATGGTGAGCAGGGAACTGTCAGTTTTCCCTCTTTGTTGAAAGTCTAGTTTTTATCAGGTAAAATTTTGTGTTGAAATATTGTGGGCAGCCCCGGGCCTATCTCTTTCCTATCTCTTGATATTTTTCTCTCAATGAGATGGTAAGCAATTTAATGACCACTAGGTGGACAAATATTTGCAGATCTTCACTCACTTTGGAGCTTCCTAGAAAGTATTGTCTCTTACTTCCTAGTTCCCTCAGTGTGCCTGTAAACATGTGCAGATAGGTGATAGATTATCAATAGACAGATGATAGATAGATAGATGATAGATAGATAGATAGATAGATAGATAGATAGATAGATAGACAGACAGTCAGATAGAGATGATCTACAGATAAATAAATGATAGATAGCTATAATTAGGTGATAGATATAGATAATAGATAAGTGAGATACATGATAGACAAGATAGATAAAATAGATGGTATTTGATAGTTAGGCATTTAGTAGTAGAGATGTTTGATAGAGATAGATAGATAGATAGATAGATAGATAGATAGATAGATAGATAGATAGATGATAGATAGACAGATAGACAGATACATAGACAGACAGACAGACAGGTAGATGACAGATAGATGATGGAAACACAGATAAATAAATAGATAATTAGAACTTTTTTGTGATCATCTACAGAAGTTTCCCCGCTCTCCTAATACGGAACATCTGAATGATCTGTTCTCTTCCATCTTTTCGCAGTTGTCCTCAGCTTCACCCAGGTCCAAGAAAAGCAGTGACCTTCTTCCTGTCGCTGTAAATTAAGTTATCATTTCTAGCTTCAAGCAAAGGGAATCCTACAGAATATGTATCTGTTTGTCAGCATAATGTTGAGGCACTCTATCTATTAATAGCTCCAGTTTTGCTGCATAACTCATCACTATGAAACTCAGTCACAGGGTA